TAAAAAATCTGATTATGACTAGGCAAGATCTTGTGATCTGATCATGGTGTATGTGTTTATATGTAGACTGCATAATTGATTAAATAACCTTAGCAAAGCTTTGTCCATAGGAATGTAAGAAGTTATTTTAATTAGTTTTGCCAAGTTGATTTGTGTGGTTTCGTCAGAACGATGCAGGTTTTGGTCTGAACTCAGAAATAGTCAAAGGCGTTATCTAGGATGTGCATTTGCTTTGTAGGAATCAGTCCTGTTTCAGGCAAGGTGAATTGTAGTTTAACTGGGGTTTTGTAATAGCGCTTTTCGTAGTCGCAGGGTAATAGAAGACATCAGTTTTTAAGAAGTGCAGAGTTTTTCTAATATAAGTAGTCATACATGATAAAAGCTTAACTTGGTCACATATTATTAGCTGGCTGGCACCTATGTTAGTAAATACGTCTGTGTCTCCTACTTGGGTCATTAGATAATTTTGGCAAATCTAGATAAACACTGCGTTTAAGTGTCTGGTTAGCTTTGGAAACTGATTTCTGATCGTGGTTTTACTCATCCTTCCTCTTGGAAGTACCAAGTCCTGTGCTTTCAGTAAGATTTTTTTCATATGAAGAATTGTAAGTATGTGCCAAACCAATGTGTGCATAATACCAAAAAGCAAAAGGGATATTTTACATTTGAAGGGCAGATGTGACCACACTTTCTATTAAACCAGCGTGGCAAGGCTTGGGAAGCAAATCTTTGCCAGCACATTTATTTCCCTGGAAATAACTTTTCCAAAGCAAAATATCTCTTATATGGCAACCTGTCAAGGTACTTTTTCTTTCTTTGCACACACATGGAAGTTTGGCTTGAGTTTGATAGCCTCTAATAACATGCTGAAGGCAGAAATACCTCATACTTGTCTAACAAAGAACCTGCTTGATAAAAGAAGAAGATATAAACATCCATTCCGGTTTTGAGGGGGGTTTTTTTCCCTTTCTCTGAGCTGTAGAAGGAGGTTGAAACTTTAACAATTTTTTGATTATCAGCAGCTACAGTTTTGTGCAACTGCATTAAAGTGAGAAAACTTTGTTTAAAAACATTTAGAGCCTTTCTAATTTATATTTTAAAGTATGGGAGAGAATGTGTTTCATATAATGGAGCTAGTGTTGGGATGTTGACTGTCAGGAAAGGAGGCTATATAGTGAATCACCAGTTTTGATACATTGCCTAAATCTAACCTTGTTTATGCTGCAAGAGTAAATGAGGTCATAATATGAAGAAGATTTCACAATCTAACAAGTATATTGCATTTTGTAAGAATCTACATGCATTATCTTTTCTCTCAGGAATAAATTTGAAGGCTTGAATAGATTAGCAGGCTCTGTAGTGAGACTGGAATGCATTATTTTGAATGGATCTGGATTGATTTAGACAGGTTTGGGGTTAATTATATTTGAGATACTTTGGCTGTGACTAATAAGAAAATTGCGTGTAATCTAAACTTTAAGACCTAGAAATAGACACTGTAGTGCTTGAGCACTCAGGCTTCTGCGCTGTCAATACCCAGGCCTGTCAGGAAAAAAAAAAATGTATGCAGTAAATAAAATACCATTAGGCAAGTGGGTAGGAGTTGGTTTGTATTGTTGGAAGGCCTTTGCTGTAAACACTTTATCGTGCTATGTCTTATCAAATCTGTCTTCAGCCGTTTTGTAGGGATGTATTCTGGCAGTATTTTGTGATGCTTTCTGTAATGCCTAATCTTAGGCAACAGTGCTTAATTTTCAAGTCATATAATAATATAATAAATAGGAGAATGGGAGGTTACAGATGGGTAAAACAAGGAACAGAACAAAGGGTTTACATAACGTTGTATTAGTTAGATTTATAACGACAAGCTACATTTATATACTGAAATTAGAAGAAGGATATCAAGGCGACAAAGACTTTGTGTGTATATGGTTTCTTTATTTGTTCTTGTTAAACACATTAAACTTTAAGGCCCAGGTCACTGTATTGTTCTCGATGCATTTAAACATTTGATTTAGGTCATAAAATCCAATTACAGACTCTATCCATAACCAATAAGTTAGACTATAAATGAATGAATACGCGTATAAATGTTAGGAAGAATCTGCTAATAATAATAATAATTGTAGTGCTCTTTGGATCTATGTGCTTTTTAATGTGCTTGGAAGTCTCTGGAGGTAGATATTACTACTGTAACAGCTGTTCCCATTTTACAGGTAGGACAACTAAAGCATAAAGAATTAACGACTCACTCAAAGCTTTGCAGGGGCTGTGATACTGAAATAGAGACAAAACTGGTGCTCACTCAGTCTTCAACCACTACTGGAGTAGTTCTCTGTGTCAAAAATGTAGGTTGATAACTTAGAATAAAAACAGCTAGCAAGCAAGAAAGAACAGATTGCTATGTAATGAATTTTATCCTTTGTGCAGTTTACCACAGTATTAATGTTCCCCGTCGCTCAAAACAAAGTGTGCATCTTTTGTCTCTTCCCGTTGTGGTATTGTCTAGGCACAGCTGACGGGGTAGTGTTTCAGAAAACTCGTAGCTTCCCAGTATAATTGCATCAACCACTGGTAACTACACGACAAGCAAACTTTGTACTTGTCTTCAATTGGTTTGAAGATGTTGGGTGTATCCTGCAGATCTTTAAGGTATATCCTTTCATCCAGACGTTACTTCTCCCCATACCTTCCCTTCCTCCTTGCACTGTATGTACGTGCATGTATAAGCACAGGGGGGAAGGGGAGCTGTGATGTTCTTTGTATAATCTGCTCGTTTGCCTTCCCAGCAGTTTGACCTTGCCTTTACACCCGCCTCTGCTCAGACTTCTGGATAATAATAGTAATTTTGTAAAGGCTAAGCTAAAATTGGTGTTAAATGCATCCTGCTGTGCCACTCCCTTTCCAGATCACCTTTGTTCTCACAATCCTCTTGGTTTCCTTGTGTACTTGTAAAAGAGATGCAAGATGTTGTATCCCAACATTCTTTTGTACTTTGTTGCTACTTCCCCCAGTAACTGTTGCCCTCCGAGTCCCAGACTGCTTCTGTGGTATTTCAAATACTACCTCGTGCTCCTTTTCTAGGGGAGTTTATTCCTCCTTAGGCCACTGCAGGCTCCTGAACTCCTTCAGCCCAGGCCTTCGTGACGCACAACTACTTATCTCCAAGGCTCAGCTTTCTCCTCCACACTCTGGGACTGGGAGGGTGTTTGTATTGGCTCTTGATGATCTGTAGCTCCCATGGGCTTATGGGACATTCTGCTTTAATTTTTCATAAGATTTGCAAAGAAAAACATAGTGCTTTGGTGTTGGGTTTTGAAATGTTGCAATAAAAGCTTAGAGTTTAGTCCCTCTCATGGTGAATTCCATTGCCACAAGCTCTATCAAAGCAGTTCTCATCCTGCATATGGCTTGGTTCAGAGACTCAATTAAGAGGAAACATTAAAGAGATAGGGAGAAGGGGGGAAAAGGGGAGCTGTCTGAGCAGCTAATTATTCACTTCAATAATTCAGTGGTTTTTACACTAATAGGTTGGAAAGTAAATACCACTTCACATAGATGTAGTATTCCATTATTTATACACTGATGAAATTGGGGTTTAATTAAGACTAAAGCCTAAGACTTTAAACCCTTAATGAAACATGTTGCTTTGTATAGTCAGTAAAGTACCGTCGGCTCGTATTCCTTAACACAGAAGTGGATTACTGTGTAGTATAGAGCACTGTTGTTATACAGAGCAGCATTTTAATGTCTGGATAATGGCAGCTTTATTAATTGTCATTTTTCTCTTTATTTAGAACTTTGGTTTCTAGTATTAGCTTTACTGATTAATTGTAGTATGTAATTGTGTGTGCTGCGAAGAGGCAGGGATTGATGTCCTCTGTTCAGTGATACATCAAGAACTGGTAGTGATCTATTATTAGCCTTTTGAACTCTGCTATAATGATTACGATGCTTGTGATGTAGTTGCTTTGTCAGCACGCATCCGTCTAACGGAGTATAAATGCGATCTGTGTTGGAATGCCAATGCAGTATGGTAGGGTAGAAGCATTCCTGGAGGATGTGATTTTACTTCCATATTGATGGGGGACACGCACAAAACCAAAAGGCCATATTTTCAAAATGTCCTCAGCTCTGCAAAAGAACCCTGTTTTTTCTGGCTACCAAGTAGATTCAGTATGCCTTTTACATGCAGATTCCCCTGTATTCTATCTGAAATTTATTTAAAGCCTGCACAGATTAGTGCTAAGTAAAAAACTCATAGTTTGGCCCTTGTCTGCTTGTGGAATATAATCTGATTCATCTGGGACGTGTAAATATGTTTGTTTTTAAAAATCTCTGTTTTAGCAAAATCTCAGGGATTCCATCGGGTGAATTGGAGAGCAGTCCTTTGAAACTATGCCAGTACCTTCAGGCCAGGATTAAGGCATGCATTTTTAAAAAGCAAAATTAATTAACTGTTAGAATAATTTACATATGGATGGGGTGGATTTTTTTAAAGTATGGATGTCTTCTTCCAGACTAGCTAAAATTTTGGGCACAGTAATGAAATTACAGGATGTAGTTCTGTAACCTACATTGTGTTAGAAAGTCGGCTAGGCAGTAATAAATCCATTCTGGCTTCATAACCTCTAAACTGGGAAACAAAAGTATCATTTGCACAGCGCAGTTTGTTGTCTGGCTGGGGGTGCTGTTGAATTAGTTTCATCTGTGAACAGTGTGCCGTGATATATGCAAATCCAGAAATGTAGGAATAACCAGGAAGAAATCTGAACATAGCATATTTCTTTGTGTTGTGATTTTAGCAGTGTCGGTTTGTACTGTTGACAAAATTGGCATGCCTTTTGCATCTTCTGTGGACAGCTAATCAGAAAAAGAAATTCCTGATGCCCTACATAATGAAGGGGAAGAGAAAAACCCTGACACCTATTAATGCAGAATTCTCTTCATGTTTACCTCAGTAATTTTTATATGCCTATTTATGACTTTTTCAGGAAGCCTGCAGAACAGAAACATTCAAAAGAGCCTTCATCTTTGCAATGCATGCATCTGGCAGTTGTGGCATGTGGGGACCGTCTGGAAGAGACGCTAATCATGCTGAAATCAGCAGTTCTCTTTAGTAACAGGAGGCTCTGTTTTCACATTTTTGCCGAGGATTCCCTTAAGCCCCAGTTTGAGAAGAAGGTGAGTTCCTTGGTCATTTCATAAATAAATAAATGAGTTAGTTGTAAACTGCAAAGCTCTGAGCACAATTGCATTGAAATCAACAAGTAGCAACTCAGAGCTTTTTTACTGTACGAGGTTTATAAATTCCTTATGCATGCATATTTTTTTTTCAAAAAAGCTCCGTACCATGTAGTGTCTAATCCCCCCCCCCGTGTCTTTCAGTTAAAGGAATGGCCTTCCTCATACACAAAGAAGTTTGAACACAACATTTACCCAATAACCTTCTCAGTAGGAAATGCTCAGGAATGGAAAAAGTTATTCAAACCATGTGCTGCCCAGCGCCTTTTTCTTCCGGTAAGGCACCTGGATTTCTGCATAGGTCACTTCAGGAAAAGGTTATTTCCACAGAAAGGAAGCTTTGCTGGTGTAATATTAAAACCATTTTCATGCTGAAACATCTGCTTAAAGATATTTTAATCTGTGCTTTAGCTACTTGAAAAAGGAAAACAGAAATCTAGCCAGCCTCACTTTTTCTCCTGCTAACAAAGAATGTGTGTTTCTTATTTGTCTCTAGTTCCATTAGCCTCTCAGACTCTTAAGGCTCAGTGCAAGAGCTCTTTCAGGGTAGATTCTCTCGGGGTAGATGCTGCATGCCTTCCATAAATCACATTCTTTTCAGTGTGCAGTCATCGTATCCTCTTTACCCACTATCTCCCTTTCCATATGTTAGCCCTAGACTGATGCTTTCAGCAATCCCTTTTCCTTGAGTTCTATTTCTTTTTCCAAGACTGTCAGATTTGCCCTTAAGGTAATAATTCCAGTGTGCTCAAATTCAGATTTCATGCAAGAGCCCTATATATCCTGGGATCCTCAGGTTCACTGAAAATGTGTATTCTTTAATGTATAATACAGTGTCATAAACTTGGAAAATATTTAAGGTTGCTGGAGAGAAAGGAGGTGTTGATAACAACTTTGCATATGCAGAAATATCAGAAATAGAAAGAGCTTTTTCATAAAGTGATTTCTGTGGAATTGAGAGCATCTGTCAAAAATACCTTGTGCATTGCTGTTGATTCGGGTGACTCCAACAAAGTGACATGCTGTTCACATGATCCAGATTTCTTCATTGCTGTCTTATGAGAAATGGTAGGGAGGGCAAAGAATCTTTACTTTCTCAGATGGAAACAATCAGGAGACAGCTGCACGTCCAGATACGTAGGCTATGAATACATATGTGAGAAAATATGTGCTGTCAGCAGTCCTGTTTATCTGCCATTTTAGGGGTAGACTATCAAATGCAGAAAGGCCAGATGGGCTGAAAGTAACTCCAGCTTCAGCAGGGATCCACTCTTCCCAGAGTAAATATTTATATCACCTGGAAAATAATCCCTAAGCGTTAGCTTGTTCAATCCAGACTGTTTGTGAGGATGGACTCAAATGAGATTGTTTTCACTGGATAAACACAGTTCTTTGTTCTTCATATTTCTGTGGTATTTTTTGCCATTTTGGTAGACTCTCATCACAGAAATGGTTTCACTTTTCCTTGTCATCACCCTTCTGATGACAGAAAAGCGTTATGTGTTCATGCTGGTGCCTGGAGGCTGGGCAGTGCTTTTTTTGGTTCCTTTTTTGTCACTCACATGTTGCTGAAGTTCTCCAGTGACTTCCTGTAAGGAATATTAGCCTCTTGCATGTGTCTGAGCTAAACTAGGAGACAGCCTGGACTGCATATTAGCCTCTTGCATGTGTCTGAGCTAAACTAGGAGACAGCCTGGACTGCAAATGTTTGTTACTCTTGGGGAAATTGCAAGGTGTGCTGTGTAGCCAGGCTGAGGTTTATGGCTTTGAATAGGAAGAGTTGTCCCAGAGTAGTTGCAACTGACAATAAATTGATATGGATATAGTAAAGAAAACAAGTTGTAGTAATAGCTGGGGTGGCAAGTGTCCAGATGGACTTTTGGTACTCAAGTTTGCAGCCTGGCAGAATCTTAGGCTGTTTCTGGGTAATTTAAATCACCATTATTTTTACCAGTGCTTGATAAAGAGGTTCTGATTCTCCTTCGAATAAGACACACTGTAGAGATCCAGTCTGCACACAGCAGGAGTGGAGGGTTTCTGCTGTTTAGAGAACTATTTTGACTTGTATTTTAAATAAACACCAGCAGGATATCAGTATCTTTTTTTTTTTTTTTTTCCTTCCCTGTCCTAAGCATTTTCTCCTGCAGTGACATAAAATGTGACTGGATTTAGGGAGGACTCCAGGAGAGCAGTGGTTATCAGCTGTTTAGCCCTCAGTTGTGCAAATTGTCTTGTTCCTGATAATGCTAAGCCCGAGTGGAATGTGGGGCTTTGATTCACAAGTGCCTCTCCTGCCAAAGAAATCTTTCTGCTGCAGCACCAGCAGGCATGTGAAAGTGGACAGGAGGGTATGAGGAATGTGTTCAGGGAAAATGGTGTAAGAATCTTTCAATGGGTTTACTCAGATTAAATGAGCTGTGGGCTGCGATCCTGCAGCTTGTAGTAATGAACTGCATTGTCCTGGGTAGCAAGGTGGATGTACATGTTCTCAACTTGTTGAATCTGCTTGGGTTACTAAAACATTAGAAGATCATGCAGCATCCTACATTTCACAGAAGCATTTAAAAATCAGCTAGAAGGGTTATGCTCTTGGCAATCACTTGAAACTTCTTTGTCATACTAACATGGATGTTAAGACACCAGGTGAAAACCTTTCTTCTGCTCTCATGAACGTTGCATACCACAGAGCTGTCTAGCAGCTGTCTGTATTGCTGCTTTGGAGCTGCCCAAGCAATCAGCTAAAGGATCATTGAAACGCTTAAGGGATTTTTGGATTATTTTAGTTCTAATAGTAACTAACATTTAGAACCTTTCTCAAAACACTTATTCTACTTAAGACCTTCTAAGGTAGATTAGCAATATCCCTAATTATAGGTGTCATCTTGAGTACGCTGAAGGATCCAATGTAGTGGATCAGTGGTAGCAGGTGGAATAGATGCCAGGACCTTATCTAGACCTTATCTCCATTGTAACTTAACTGCTTACTGCAATTAAGTTTAGTAACTCAACTTTGTGGTACTGCTACAGTAGCATCAAGATTTGTGATTTGTCCATCATTTTGGATAAAGCTCTGATAAACTGCCATGCTAGCCATGACAAACCATTAGGTAACACGGCTTCACAACACACCAATATGTGTTTACACAGTAGTGTGTTATTCCTTGCCAACCTTGCTACCGCAGGGAGAATCTATGGCGACAGAAGTTGTGAAATCAAATTACAGATAATTGAGTATTTAAGTGAAGCGTCAGGCTAAATATAGCAAGTTCTGTGCAGAACTTTTTGACAGGTTTACTAAGAATACTGTATATAACTGCAGAAAAACATCACACTTCGTTAAAGCTGTAAGCGCCTGCCGAACGAGGAGGAAGACGAGCACAGTCAAGCCATAGTCCTGACCATTCGTTTCAAAAATCACAGTCTGTCAGGTATGTCTGCGTGGTTTGTGCTAGCAAGCGCGAACTCAGACTACCAGACACAGTCTTGCATTGCTTATGCCGCAGGTCAGATGGGTGTCATTTTTATCCCACAGTCATGTCCCTCTGGTTACCCTCCTGGCAGGCTCGGCGTGATGCCAGCCCTAGCCGTGCAGCGTCTGGCTCAGACAGAGCAGGCTGGAGCAAGGTCTAGGTACCCAGCCTGGCCTTCTGCTTCTCAGCTGCTTTTGGCATTGAAAATCAGCAGAGTCAAAAATTCATCATCCTCTCTGGTAGGCTTTTGAATGAGTAAAAGCTAAATATTATTTTAAGGGCTGTGTAAAGCCTAAAATATTTTTTTGAAAACTCTCTAGGTTTGGGAACAGAGCTACCTGAAAGCTTTGGGACACTGAGAATGCCAGTTACTTAAATGAATACCTATTAATAATAGCCAGAGGGGGATGTGATCAATTCAAACTGACATGTGCCTAAAATATTTTTTTGAAAACTCTCTAGGTTTGGGAACAGAGCTACCTGAAAGCTTTGGGACACTGAGAATGCCAGAGTTATTTAAATGAATAACTACTAATAATAGCCAGAGGGGGATGTGATCAATTCAAACTGACGTGTGTAGGTTTTTAAATAAGTCTTAACACTTCCTGTGTGGAAGAGAAAGGTGTGAAGGGCTCAAAGGAAGTAGCATGGCTTTTCTTTTAGCCTGTTGGGTGTCACTGCAGGGCAACACCTTGGACACAGGAGAGGGACAAATCTTTTGACAAACCAGGAAGGAGAGCATGTGAATCCTGAGTGGAGGAATACAAGGCGGAAGGCGTGGGGTCAAACGCTGGTAGGCACCCGCTTCACAGAGGACTGAAATACCTGCTTGGATACATGCACATTTAGGAAAGTTATTACAGTCCGTTGGCTTCCACAGACATAAATTTATTTGTATATTTAAGGTCGCTGAAGGAACAGTTTTCTGCTGGAAGAAGCAGTGCCCAGGCTGTCACTTAGGCTTGGGAGGAGTGTCTTATATGCACCCAGTAAACTCCCCCCTTAACCCTCTGCTGCAGAGTGCCTGAGCTTGTCTCTACCAGGACACCCTTAGATAAAATCTTACGTGGGGCACAGTGTGCTGTGGATGCCTCAGACAAAATCTAACAGCATCTGCTCATTGTGTTCACGTGCTTTCTCCTGTCTCAGACTAGATTTTGGGGTGATTCTTCATTTTAATATATTTTGATTTTATATAACTTCTTATGGTAGGCTCCTGTGAATTAGGGTTTTTGGGTGCTACAGACTAATATACAATATCCAGAGTATCCTGAAGGTGAAAAAGCTGTTAATCTTTTCAACTGCCTGTTTTATATTGATTTACTCTTAAAGTAGCTGTCTTTTTTATTTTTTTCACTTTTTTTTTTTTAGTGCTGGACTCCAGGATAGTTAATATTTGCAAATATTTACCTCTGACCTCTTAGTGTGTTATTTAACTATTTCTATCACTCATTTATTGATACCTCCCTATGTTGTTTTGTATTTTTTTGTGGAAAAATGGTGTATTACTGTAGCCTTCCATCCAGCAGAATGATCTGGGTTGTGTTCGACTTGTTGGAGTTTCTTGTGAGCATAACTTTTGGCAAAAGTACAGTGAAACTTGCCTTCTCTTGTGGATGCCCCATCCCTGGAAGTGTCCAAGGCCAGGCTGGATGAGGCTTGGAGCAACCTGGTCTAGTGGAAGGTGTCCCTGCCCATGGCAGGGGGGTTGGAACTAGATGGGCTTTAAAGTCCCTTCCAACCCAAACAGTTCTGTGATTCTATGATTCTCCTGCTTGTCCCGCTGTGTAGGAAGAACATGTAGTGATGTCAGAAATACAGGGCAAGGATTTGTAAAACTTGGCTAAATGTCAGTCTGAATCCCAAAGTATTCAGTCAGGTGAAAAATCTCATTTAAGTCCATACTCACGGATTTGGCATCTTAGTGGATGCCTGTTGAGCATGCTTAAAGGTAATTTTTCTCCCCACTTGTTCAAAATCTTAATGTTGTTCACTCTATTTCACAGTTAATCTCCAGCCACAATACGTTTCAATTGATGTAAAAGTCAATCGCTTCAGTAAAATTTATTGTTACCTGCATAAATCGGGAGATTCTGTCATTAGTATCATTGCAACTGAATAAAGTGTGATTGTTGTTCCACAACATGGTGACAATCAATAGCCTTTTGGATTTGCTTTTCAAAAGAAAGAAAGGGATAGAAATTGGGGTTTTGTCTGAGACCACAGTAAGAAAATTTCAGTCCTTCAAGAATTTTTGAACAGTTTTAGCAAATAATGGAGAAGAGCAACAAAAATGCAGTTGGACCTGACGGTCAGCTTTAGCTAATGATATTGATTACTTAACAATCAACCTTACAGGTAGCTGGTGCAAACATCCAGGGATTTGGACTTGGAGTGTAGAAGCACTGTATAATTTGCCCTACTAAACTCAGGGAGTGAGCATGTAAGGATGTGGATAGCCACAAGGGGGAACATTGTCAGCAAGAAGAGATTAAATATCCTGAATCTAATTTACAGTTCGCACCCTTCTGACTTGACTAATTTTACTGTGGTTGTTCCTGACATAGAGTCTGATATCAGAGATCAGACTCTGACCTTGTAAGTTTTAATATGACATTTTTATTTACCAAACAAATGTTGGTCTTCGGGAGGATGCATACACATTTTTGTGATCTATAGGGTTTCCTTAATTAGTGTGAAACGTTTGAATGTAGTAATACTGAATGTAAGTCTTCTAGGAGCACAGGTTGTAATAGGAAAACCTGACATTAGAAAGTCATAAGGAAACAGGATAGCAAATGGAGATGAAAAGTATTTACACTTGCTTACTCTTTCTGTTTCACTGCTGACAGATCTTGAAAACAACTAACAAAGCCATGTAAACATATATTCTTTGCGTTTTATTTCTGCACTGGTACTGAGTAGTCCTTGAAGGTATTTTTGCGAGCTCAGTGGATTACTGTTTCATACCCAGCTTCTGTGGTCTGGGAGCTGTTTTGCTGTGCAGTTCAAAGCCAAAGAACACAAAACAAACAACAAGCCAATAACCTGATAGCTGTTGTTCCTATGTGTAATTGCATTTAGCTGATAAATCAATAACGTCTTTCAAATTATCAGTTTAAAATAAAAGTACCTTTTGTCAATAATCTTCCTTTTTGTTGTCTGGTTGCTTTTTCATCTCTTCCTCTCCTCACTGTGCCAACCCAAAAGGTCATTTTAAAGGATGTGGATTCTCTCCTTTATGTGGACACTGATGTTCTCTTCCTGAGGCCCATCGATGACATCTGGCACATCCTGAAAGAGTTCAACTCAACACAGCTAGCTGCTATGGCGCCAGAGCACGAAATACCAAAGATTGGCTGGTACAGTCGATTTGCACGTCACCCTTATTATGGGACAACTGGAGTCAATTCTGGAGTGATGCTAATGAATTTAACACGGATACGCAACACTCAGTTCAAGGTGAGAAGAAATGCAGCTGTTGCGGAAACTAATGGTTTATGTATTTTTCATATCCGGTAAAAATTAGCATGAAGTTATGTAAAGTTTGCAATATGAAGTATCTGAAAAATACAGAATATATATAATCGGATTATAAAAGCAATTATAGTCAAAATTATTATTAAAACAAGGGAAACTTCCTCAGGAGGCTGGAGCACAGAACTTGTAGATGAAGCGGGCTGTTAGCATAGTAAATATGGTTTTTCAACATTTCTTTTTCCCTTGAAAGATACACAAAAGAATAAACTTAAGGCCCTTCAGTGCAGTCGCTGTATTGTTTTTAAAATTGGAAAGCTTGATGTAAATATCCAGAGAAACTGGTAATTTTTTGCATCTGCTGTAAACAGAATTTCGTATTCTGCTGCAGATCAAGTGACGCCATGATCTGATATAAATGAGAAGGGAACATTTTCACTGACATCTGACATCTCCCCTCTTTTGTGAAAGACCTGACTTGTGCAATCTCTGTTTGTTTCACTGAGCACGTATTCTCTAATCTCCTTAAAAACTTTATTTACCACAAGCGGTCTTGTTCCCAGTCAAGGTTTCCTCTACCTTTACAGGAAAAGCTTGAGTAAAAAACCTTTGCTCTTAATGTCCTCATTCCCAGGGAAGATAATGTTTAGTCTGCGTTTTTCTTCGCTCTATACCTCAGTTTTCATCTTGTCCCTGCATTTTTCCATTTTTCCCCTTTTTCTCCCTCCTGTTGCTCAGAACAGGAAGATCGTGAATAGCAGGAGCTGACATCAGAGCTCGCCCCAGGAGACCTTGCTTTCCTGTTGCGATAAACAGGAGCACAGTCAGCTCTGCTGTTCCAGCCCTATCCAGGTCCAACATTCCCTGTCAGTTCTTCATTTTTCACCTAGGTATCTGGCATGGCTTAGCAGACTTGCAGATATGTGGGTGCCACACTGAGTCATATATCACAACACTGTTCATGGCATTAACCTGTTCTGTTTGTCTGCCCTGCAGAACAGCATGATGCCGAGTGGTTTGACTTGGGAGGAAATGTTGTATCCATTATACCAAAAGTACAAAAATTACATTACATGGGGAGACCAGGATCTACTAAATATAATTTTTTACTTTAACCCAGGTAAGTAATGATTCTTGGAGTCATGATTACGTGTGTTAAGAAAATTTCTTGAACTTGAAAAATGTAAAAAAAAAAAAAAAGGTGCTATTTGTTATTTATACTGTGCATAATGTACTCTGACATGACGTTGATGTGTAAGCGCACCTGGGATTTACAACCTGTGAATGTACTGCTGAAAATGGTGCAGGTAGTGGGGCTCAGTCTTGGTTCCATTGATAATGTAAATCTCTTTTCTGGAGGTTCTGAGAAAATAAGGAAGTGTAACATTAATGATCACATACGGGAATGAAGTTCAAGTTGTACGTGTGCTTAAGAGCATCGCTGGACCAGGGCCTAGCTGAAAAAAAAGTTTTGTTTCAGATGTTTCTCTAAATGTGGAGTTCCCAAACTTTCTCCAAACCTATGCGTTGTTCTTCTGAAATTCAGTTGAATTCTGGTATTTATGCAAATGAGTAACAAAGCAAATACAAACAGAAAATGGACCCACCCATTGAAATATCTCCTCTGCAACTGTTGCTCTCCCTACTTTTGAACCTTCACTAAAGGTTTCTTTTTGAGAAAGATGCTTCCAGCCTCTCAGCTGAACATTCCAGCCTCAGCAGGCAGTCAATTCCAGTGACATTCTCATGTGTATTTCCAAGGAGCTGGAAAATTTAGGCATCTTTATTTTAAAGGGGTGTGACTTTTTCCACAAGTGCTGAGACAGTTTCTGGAAATTCAGCCCCTAGTAAGAATTTTGCACTGATCACACAGAAATTACTTCAGGCACTTCCAAAACCAGAAACATCTGAACAGGATTTCAAAATTGTAGCATAGTACGTGCTTCCCAAAGAAGCTGAGAACCTTATTTCGTGCTTTGGAATGGATGCTGAATATCCATTCTTATTTGCTTTTCCTTGTTTCCTATGTGACCTTGTATTCCCCTGGGTAATCTTAAGAACAGAATAAGTTTGGCTTTATCTTCGTTTATTCTGTTCTCTTCTCTTTTTTTCTCTAAGGATTCATAGGGTAGGTAATTGGATATACCCAAATCCAGGCAAATAAAAGGAGACAGCAAAAGCAAAGCACTAAGCTAACATCTGTTTAGTGCAGACAGATGTCAGACATCAGTGTCCCTGGTACACCGTGAATTGCCCTCAATCCTAGGGAAAAAATAAAGTTAAAGGAATCTTCATTATGAAAACATAAATTAATTTCCAAAAAGAAATGAATGTTATAGGAATAGGGTCTACAGGAGGAAGACGAAGGTGAAGCCACAGTAGTGGTGAAGTCAAACTCAAGCTGCCGACTTACGTGTGGAGAAAAAAACCTAAAGATTTCACAAAGATTTTAATTTTGTGATGAGAATATACTCTATCAAATCCACTCATTGAGACTCTTCTGCACCACAGTCTTTTTCTTGTAAGTGGTAAATAATTTTTTACGATTTACACAACATCAGACTGCACAAGAAAAGAAACCATAAGAACTGGATTCAATTAAAACAGAAAAGTAGGTTTTCCCAAGGTTATAAACTGCTTGGTTGTTGAGACGGGCCTGGGAAGGAGTCACTCAAGACTGCTGCAGGTGGCTTTTTATAGATGCAGTGCACAGGCTTGAAAACACCCAGATCTGTGTTACCTGGGGCCTAAAGAGATGCACCCGTTTTCCCATCTCTGAAGGCTGTTGTGATGATTCATGGATCTGAAAGCTCACCGAGCAGCTAGAGCTTGACTCCAGCTGTGGCAGCAAAAATGCACAAAAGCATCACGTCGAGAAGGTCCAGAGTACTCAAGTGACATGTACCAAAGCAAATAAGCACCTGATGACATCCTCTCGCTGCAGTGACCTGCTGATGAGCTGTACTTGCAAACATCTGTTCAGGGTTACCAAAAGGATCCCCGTTAATGGTAACAGGGTTTGGAACAGGCGTTACTGCTCTTCCTGCCCTTTCAGCATCGCTGGGGAGCAATTCTGAATGTGTGATGGCTCAGACTGAATGGAAACCTCTTGCAGTCTCCCCTTTCTGGAGAAGTCTCCTGGTAGAGAGGCCTCAAGGGAAGAAGTGTTTCAGAACCTTTCTCTCCTACTTCTTCAAGAACCACCCAGGACCAGCTGCAGACTTCCTGGGAAGTGGAGAAGGGCCAAGTGAGGGATTCAATCTTCAGTACTTCTGACACGACCTGCTGACATAGTGCAGTGATTCACTGTACTCCATTCCTGAGGCAAAAAGGTCACAGGGACTGGTGTGATTTATTATAAGCATATTGCAAACACTGTGGGTGCATGGAGAAAGTTTAGAAACAAATCGGTAGGAGAAGGGAATTTATAAGCCTTTTCGAAAAATTAGGCTTATCTTTAAATAACCTGGACCTGTGAAATTAATGGATGACAACTTTTAGGACTCTGGATAAAATATACTACCGCTTATGCTCTGCTGTATCTCAATATAACAAATTGTCATAGCCTCAGGGGAATGGTCAGCAGCAAACATTGGACATACTTTACAAGCTTTCCCAGGGATTCTCCAGAAGGGTACAGGATTTTGCATAACCCCCACTGCTGGGTGTGCTTCCTTAGTCATGTCTGTATACTTGAGAACGCTGGGTAGTGCCACCTGGTGTGCTCTCTCCAGGTTTGATTGTCACTTCTAGCTTCATACAATGCCCTCTTGGTTTATATTGGCCCGCAGTCTTTGTGCTGCCCTCTCTTCCTGCTCTTTTGGGTCAGAGAGTGCTGAGGTGTGTATAGTCATCCCCTGAGGAAAGGAAGCTTCTGTGTCTGGCTGCTGCTTGGGGTATTTGCAAAAGTAACTGCATGTTTTTCTGATTGTCAGTCCCAGCTTTTTCACAGATGTGGTTTAATTTGTTGTAACTCGTTTGATGTGTCTTTTTTTCTTTTTTGTCCCCTCCCACCTGCCGTCTCCCCTGACTGACATTGGCAGAGTGTCTCTATGTGTTCCCGTGTCAGTGGAACTACCGGCCTGATCACTGTATGTATGGAAGCAACTGTAAAGGTGCAGAAGAAGAAGGTGTCTCTATTCTGCACGGAAACCGAGGTGTCTACCATGATGACAAACAACCTACCTTCAAAGCCCTCTATGAAGTGATACGTGACGTAAGTTGTCTATCTCGACAGGGGCAGCTGTTACTGCAAGTGTCCTGCGTTACCCGGGTTGCTCAGGTTGCTGTTCCAGCAGGCCAGGCTGAGCGCGGCTGCGCTTTGTGTGCGTGTGCCGGGTTAGTGGGGTGGGTTTGGTAGTTGGGGAGGGGCCACAGGGGTGGCTTTATAAAGCTTTATCTTAGAGAAGCTTCTCCAATGCCATTTTGTAACTATGAAAACTAATAATTCTCTTTTTTTTTCTTTTCTCTTCTTTAGTTTCCATTTGAAGACAATCTCTTCCAGTCTTTGTACTACCCTCTGCAGTCTAAGTTTCTGGATACAGTGCACACCTTATGTGGGAGAATTCCACAAGTGTTTCTGAAGCAAATTGAGAAAACTATGAAGAAGGTGTATGAAAATCGTGTCATTGTCTACTTGGGGGCCAACCACAGATACTAAATGTAGCTATATTTTTACGCAGAGTTTGGAATTCTTGCACTCCCACCTCATGAAGCATACAATGAAGTGTATGACCTCTTGTGCTGAGACTCAGAATTAAAATATTTTCCTTATCCAGTTTCCTAATAACCCCTGAAATTACAAAACCAGAAGAAATCCTAGATGGCTGTCTGAACTGTCCTTTCTTAGGCCGTGTGTTCTCTTCCTACATTTCTCTTGATTGCAACAGGGAGAGTTGACGATTCTCACTTTCATTTGACGTGTTCCATTTGGTTATTTGTTTAGGAACAGCTGTATTCACTGCAGCTTTTCTTCAAGTTGTGCAAGAGCTCGTACTTATCTGAGGCTTTACAAAGAAGACATGGTATGACCTCTGTAACGTATAGGGAATATAACTCTTCAAATGATAGGGCAAATGTTCTTGACTCATGAGAATGCTGAATTACAGGAAAGATCACTCTTGTGGTAGGATGAGTTAAAGTCTACTATAGTAAAGGGAAAGTATTTGCTTAAAATTGCACTTCTGTCTGAAGGTGTATTACCCGCTATTCTTCACATGTAGGATCCAAGATTTCTCGTACTTAAAAAGATCAGGGGAATAGAAGTGCCTATTTATTTTGTATTTTACAGCACTTTTTGTCTAGTGATTGTCATTCTTTCCCTCTGCTCTTCAGTAGTTTTGTGAGGGCTTCTCATGAAAGAATTAGAAGGCAAGTAATTTCAGCATAGGTAGGAAAACTGTGTACAAGAAATGGGAGGGGGATGCAGTGGAGGCTGTGGCACCTGCACAGCTAATGGAGAAAAGCGAATCCTTTGTTGTGTGGAGCACAGTCAAGATCTCCGCCTCCACTGTCTTACAGTTCTAAGAATGTATGCCCTAATTTGGTAATGCTAATTACATTAGACACAGTTCAAGAATATTGTAAATGTAGAGTACAAAGCCAGGTACTATTGATCTCTTTTTCCTCTCTAATGAACCCTCTTTAATTGTTATTTACTGCACAGAAACAATGGTGTGCCAACAACCGTTCTTCTGTCCCTATGCAGGGAGACTGAGGATGCTGCCTCTGTCCCCCCTTTTCTGCTTCACCAGAATCCTGGGGCATAGAAGTGCATTTCTGCCTGGCACTTTCATTCCTGGAAGTAGAGTTTTATGCTAGGATCAGAATGAATAGCCTCCAAGCGAAGGAGGATAGAAGATGGCTTTGATCTTTATTTAAAACACTTCATTGAGCTTGGATTTCGAATGTATGATGATCATCTGACGATATGCCCAGACGAGCTGATTAAGACTTGCAGTAGCTGAAAGCTGCCTGGGACAAGTCTCTGGGGAACTGAGAGTGAGGACACTCTTAAAGAGCAGTGATCCAAGAGCAGACTCCAGAGGGTATTTCCTAAGGGTAAGCCTTGAGGGGTGTGTGTAGGGGAGTGCCTGAAGAAAACGGCAGAGAAAATTATCTTGCTTTCCAGTCTGTTCAGCAAAAACAATTGGCCATTGCTTGGAACTACTCGCTTTTAGATCTAGCAGGCAAAGTCAAAGAGTTTTGAGGAGGGTGAGATAGGTGAGGCTTTTTTCTAGTGAAAGGAAAACTGGTACAGGTTGTATATCCTGCACATGCAACATACATTTATTAGACGGAAATATCTGGGGGGTGTGGATGAGGGAAAGGATATGTTTCCCAAGTTAAAAAGCGGGACTTCTGAAGAATTGTGGTTTTGGGGGCTTCTACCCCATCCAGTCAGAACTGATGCACAGTGTCATAAGAAGACAGTCTCCAAGAGAAAGTCCTTCTAGCTTTCACATTCCTCTCTCCCTGTGTGGCAGCTCAGAGGAGGGAAAATGCCGGCCTGGCTGGCATCTTGGGCTGCCAGATAAACAGGCTGTACGCAGGCTGAAGTGCCGACACGCTTTCTGCAAACACTAGAGTGTGAACACGCCTGTGACGCAGCCGTCAGCGTGCTGGGTGCATGACAGCATGGCAAACAGCATCACTGGAGTCATCTCGGCAGAGGAGGTGTGGAGATGGAGGCTTGGAACAAGGGGCATACGCTCTTGGTCCTAGCCATTTCCCTGCTGGTCTGTGCTAGTCCTCGCAGGCAAACACAAACGTCTGTCATTTGCGCCTCTGTGTGCTGCCAATTCTAATCAGGCTCGTTTCTGGCTCAGATGGGATATCTCGGGGTCTTTGTCACTTAAGTGTGAATCGACATGCAAAGGGCAGGGCAGCTCTGCATCTACTTTGATTGAAATCCCGCGACCCAGAAAGGCATTTAAGCTTATGCATCGACATTACTGTCTCTCACCACTTGCCTTAGTATTTTCTATTTCAGCTGAAGTTTTAGTCGCCACTTAAAAGAAACAGTATGCTTCTAGGAACAGAGAAAAGTTTGTAACCCGAATGAACCCTGCAGACTCAGGACGAGAAGGCAATGGAAGGAAAAATTCAGCATGCTGGTTTAAAACAAGTTGCTGATCACATAAGCCTAACAGACAGCAGGTAAACCTTTTGGGCTAGCCATACGGAGTGCTCGTAAAAAATACTAGCTTGCTTTTTGCTCCTTATTTTCAAGTGTCGCGGTAAAGCTGCCTGTAGGTCAAGTGAGGATAGATGAGATGCATGCTGGGCGCTCTGAATTCCTCATTTCTCCGGTATCGACAGGCCGCAGAAAGTTGCAGAGCAGAAGTTTTGTTGCCCAGCCAGTTGCAGCTCTGGTGCTGAGCCTCTGAAGTTCAGGAGGCTGTGGTTGTGTAAGCTGTGATTCAGCAGAACCCTGCAACTATGGGCACATTAAAATGAAGGAATGGAATTTACAAAACAAAGGCATTACTGCATATAACATGATCAGAGATTAAACTAGTGCTTTTTATGTTCACGGGAGGTGCTGCATTGGGTTTAGAAAGAGCTGTGTTATGTTCTCAACAGCTATTAAAATATATGAAGTATATGCTTTAACTGAAGACTTTTGTTAATGTAATATCAACTTGCAGGAAGAATGGGGGAGGTTCCCCCCTGCTGTGCTTTTTCTAAGAAAAAAGCTCTAATTTCAGCTCTCCAAAGGGTTTTACAACAATTATGTAACTTTGATTTTTTTGTTGTTGTTGTTAGAATTATTAATTTATATTTTAATTACAGCTTCCAAAACCATGTTATAGTTTGGTTTTAAGAGTAGTTGATTCTAATATTAACTCTATTTAGAAACCAGTTTTCATTCATTTCGTATTTCATACTTGGGGCTAATTCCTTGTTAATTAGCCTTCATTTATTTTAATAATGGGATGTGTAAACACTTCCCTAGACTGTATATCCTCATTTCCCCTTCCTCTCATGCATTTCAGTCATTTCCAGTGGTACAATGTAACCAAAACGCCTTTGCTAATGTCATACCTTGAGCAGTGGCATCATAACATAGGGGGTAAATGAAAGTATTTTTATTTAAATGAATAGAACCTCCAGCACGGGAATGTGTCCATGTCAAAGGAGAATAGTCACCTTTCACACTGACAAGGAAACAGCAGGGTAGAGCCCAGAGAACTGTGCCTGGCTCATCTGACCGTAAGCCCTAACCCGGTGGCTGTTGGATACCCCGAACGTTGCCTGTGCAGTCAGTGGGCTCGTACGTGGTGCTCAAGTGAAGCGTGAAACCAAGGCCTTGCGGGATGGGCAGCACATATTCAGGTTTTCTATTTGCTGTGTTATACTTGAACTTGCAGAAGATGGGTAACTAGGGGTTTTGTGTTAAGAGCTGCTCAGCACCACCTTCCAGCCCAAAGCCGTTTAAGAAAGCGTCAGGCTACCGGTGCGCCCAGTACAACAAGTTGCCCCTGGAGTGGGAAGCGTTTGGTTGCATCATTTATATAATGTGAGAGTTTTTCTAGGCTATTTGCTGGCAAACCACAGAGTGGGCTTAGATGGCTCCCCAAGCATTTGGCTTACAGGTGGAAACTGGAATCTGCTCTGTGTGCGTGTGCCTGTGTACACAACCAGAGTGGACGTGGTAAAGAATTCTGTACCTTTTCTCTACCATTTAATTGCTTGTGTATTTGTATTTGACAAGTGCACCGACTGTTTATAGCTCCCAAGGAGGCCTAGCAGTGCATTTCCATGTTAAGATCCTTTGGCTTACAGTACAAATAAATGAAGTTTTAAGCAAGCTCTGTATTTTGATAGTTTTCCTTTAAATATAACATTTGGCTGTGTGTGTTTTGGGTCTGGTTGGGATGGAGTTTAGTATTAGTGATGTTGTTCTGTATGTACACACACAGGGTATGTCTGTGTTGAGCACAGAAAAGTGTTCCTCTTCTACAACTTCACCCTCCCTGTAGTGAGAGGGGATGGTACTGGGTATGATGCCGAGAGACAAGTATGTATATTTAACATTCCTTAAGGTGCCGTGCTGCCACTCCAGTTGTGTTATGGTCACCACAGATCAGAACCTACTCTCAAAGGAAACTGAAGTTCTACCTTTTACTTTTTACCATTTCTCTTCTATTTTCTGTGCCTTAGAGGTTTGGGTCATTTTGCACCATTTCCCTTTCCTTCTTCTTGGATATAATTTCTTTTTACACTCTTGTATGGCCACTGCTGCGATGTCTTTGGTTTTCCTGTGACATCTCCCTGTGACAGAAGTTTGTGAGTTGTCTATTCAGCCAAACCAGTTGTCTGCCCAGTGATGAAATCGTTTCCTCACTTGCTCACCTGTGTGGAATGTTGGGCTCAGTCACGCTCCCTTTGAAGTCAAGAATAAACTCCCAATGACACTCGGAGAACAGGCACCACCAGGTGCAAAACAGTAGTACTCGGTGCAGCATCTCTCCATCTCTGAGCTGGGAAGTGTGTAGCTGTGTGCTGTTCAGTTACAACAATCAGACTGGTCGGGGATGTCCCGATCCAAGATTTTTCACTTGCAAACGAGGCTTCAGTCAGTGTTGTTGTGGGGAGAACACACAGTTTTTGCAAGGTGGAGGCTAGGCAGAGGTAACGTGGGTACAACACAGACAGGATGGGCGTTTACCTGTTGCTGGTGATTGGGTGGAATGGACCTGAACCCTGATTTCCCACATTCCCATTGCCCGACTGCTGGATTTGTTACCTCCGTCTAAAGGCTGCAGCTCTCCCGCGTGGAACAAATAAACTCTCAGTTC